TCCCGAGGATATGTGAGGCAACATGAGACGTCCAATTCGCATCACAGAAAGGCTCCAAGAAGGTCAGGTAGTTCCCCAGTACCTGCGAGACATCAAATACACCTCCCACAGGCTTCGGAAGACCGATGGGAAAACCACTACGAGATTCCTGACACATGGAAACCCAACCAGGACTTTTTGGACACCAACTTAGTCTATGGCCTAGCACTCCCTCGTCAGGTCATCTCAACGTCTGTCAGTAGAAACCTTGGCATCGACAATGTACCTATTCATGAGGTGAAGCTTATCCCTATCATCCACAACATGTCTCAGAATTGGTGCCTACGTCTGTTGGCAAATGGCAAAGCCACATTCCTTGAGTTGTTTTGTTCCCGTCAAGAATGCTACTTTACATCAGCCCTTATGAAAATTCTTCGTGAGCAGCAAGTTGATTTCAATCAACTACTGTCAGGTGCTGCGGCCAAACAGGGTTTGTCCACAGATTTAACACAGTGGAGTGCCAGAAAAGCAGCCCTAGAAGCATTGGCCGATTTCACCATGGAACAGTTCCGCACCATTCTCCCACAGGACCCTTCCAATCAGTTGATAGAACGATTACGTAGAATGGAAGAGGAGAATGCCAGACTTCGTATGCAAGTAGGTCAAGGTGCTGCTGACAATTCGCATCAATCCCAAGCAGAGCCCGCAGTACCAGGGATAGCACCAAGCAGGAACATGCCATCCCCTTCACCTCCCCACACCCTCCAGGCTCTTCCCACGCCTGCTGGCCCCAGCACCTCACCCCCAGGTACTGCAGACAGCACACGACAACCAGGGCAACAGACATTGCCATTCAGCGGACAAGGAAACGCAACAACTCAGGCACTGAGCAAGCTGACAGAACTGGCAGTACGAGACCGCCCAAACCATTTAGAATCCACAGGTCCCAAAAACCATACTGTGCAGTGTATCAATTCTTGGATGAAGTCGCAGGTTCCAGATACGAAGCAGCATGCTGAGATTGATCGACGTGCCAGGGAGTTTAAGGAAATGTACGAGAAACTCGATGCTGGCCAAGCACCGTCTCTACAGCGGATGTTGGTGAGTTGGGGCATGGAGCCCAGTGATGCAACCAAATTCAAGCCAGGGGAGGCTCTCAAGCTCCTCACGATTTTGAACCATTTGCACCGCTGACTTTGTCTGCATTTTGCGGATGCATGCATGACCAGTTTTGACTTACAATTCATGGGATCAACGAAGTTTGTCCTAGATGCAATAATTCACAAGTTTTTCCGGTGGATACAACCAGTCCGGAAGACCTTTTTTGAACAATTCAACTATTTCTCCATGCGGAGATACCTCTGGTTGGAAACGATGCTTTTCACCAGGTTCGTTCTGTTGAAGAACATGTGCAGCACCACGACGAAAACATGGATCAAATTAGCACGGTTTCTCAAATCACAAGAGATCACAGGAAATTCTACGTTTGAGCAATTCCACTCGCCAGGATGGGTGTATTTAAAAACTTCTTGCGTCCAAGAGCACGCTACCTGGTGGTACGTGGGCAGTACAACAAATACACCTATGGATAGGGAATATAGTCGCTATCGAAAGTATGAGCAACTGCGTAAAGGAGTTGACGCCTTCTTTGAACCAGCACTGAAGATTTGGCAGAGCACCCAAACATTTTTTCATTTCATCATAATTCCATTGCAGCAAATTGACGATGAAATTGCATTGCGAGCAGCAGAAACGACATTAATCGGTCAGCTCAGGCCTATGTTGAACCACCCATTTGTCAATCCATTATTGAAGAAACACGGCGTTGCTGCCCCTTTGAATTTTTCTATGCCTTGTTCCTTCCTTGCCAACTGTGCCCTGGACGAATCTGCCATGAGTCGCATGTGGAAGCAGCCTACACACTTGTTCGAGCTGTTGTACTGGCTAGGATGCACAACTCGACGAAAGTTCCATGCAGCACAAGTTCTACGGAGTTCGCAGGTAAACCTTGAGTTTCTGTACATGCTTTACAAACTTGTACACCAGATAGATGAACCCTGGCGCACGCGTGCGCAACGATCGCTAAAAAACTGCCTTGAGTTCAAAGGTGGGCATGCCCCCCCCGCGAATGTGCCAATGTTGCTGTTGCCCCTGCAGTGCGATGTGAAAGACCTAGTTCGAACGTGGCTTCGAGAGCTGCTGCAACATCATTCCTGTTTGTTTCCCTGGTTTCATGTACCAACCACACATGTTGTTCTGCGACGAAACAGGCCTTTTTCAGATTTCGTTTTCAATTTCCATTCTTTCTTGCAGAGCTGGTCCCCAGACGAATGCGTGTTTGAATGTATGGCTTGCGGTACATTTGATTATGGAGATCATGTACGTTCAACTGGACATGTGTTCAGCACAGCAAGTGGGTTGTTTCCAACGTTACTGGTTGGACATCTGAACTTAGCTGACACCGTGTTTCCATCACAAAGACGCTGGATCACAGATGCACAACAGCAATTTGCTAAATGGTGCGAAAGATGGCGGCTAGGAAGACGGTTCACAACCATATGGAACTACATGTGTCACTATATTTGGCAACAACATGTCCAAGCAGTTTCCCGTGACGGTGTTTGTACATTCCAAGCCCTGTTTCGTGAATTGCGTAGTATAAGAAGGTTCGTCATTTGCCCAGCTGATCACCATCCTCATCGAGCTCATTTGTGTTGCCCACATCATTATCACCATCTCCTCATGAAAACGTTCATGACACCTGACGTGTTTGTCAGATGTTCTGTCGGTTGGAACACAGTTTTCCCACGAGTTATGGTCGATTTGGGAGATAGCCTTCCACCTCACTTGCGAAAATTGGCCTCACCTGGTGGAAAGTGCCCATGTGCGTATATTCTTCCCAAACCTAGCAAACATTTTGAAGCGGCGCGTCCGATCATTGCATATACAAACAGTTGGAACAACCGATTAGGCGAAGTCATTGGAGGGGTAGTATTACAGCTGATTCGGTCATTATTTCGTGAGACATCGCTGGACAAAGACGTTGTTCAAATCATGCGGGCAATTCATTATGTGTTTGATGATTTACCGAGCCATCTGCCTATAAACATGGACCAACAAGACTTATCAGGTTTTTTCAATTCGGTACCACATTCTCGAATGGTCGACAGTGTATGGTATGCGTTGCATGTGTATTGTCACAAGTACAATGTGTCTCTGGACAGCACTATTACTTTCCAACTTCAAGATCGTGAATCTGCCCAACGAATTTTTCGTGGTCGGTATCGACGAGCTGGCAATCGTACGACGCAAGTCAGTTTGATTCATCTACCTGCAATGGTTTCCTTTCTTCTACGTAATTCATATTTCATGGTTGGTCGGCATCTGTTTAAGCAAGTTCAAGGTGCTAGTATGGGTTCACACTTTGCCCCGGCGTTATGCGGACTCGTAGCAGCATGTCAAGAACACATTTTTCCAAAACATTCGAGGATATGATCGCGGCAAATCGACTGTTGTGCAATACCCGATATGTGGATAACCGGGCTATGATGGGCTTTGGATCATGGCGTTGTTCTCCTATTTGGTCCGTCTTCACACATGCAGAATTCTATGGAGCGCCTATTTTGCTTGAAGAAGTGTCTGACCCAATATTATTGGGGGCACACGTCGACACAGATCAAAGAACCACTACAGTTCGTTTCCATCATGATATGAGTCACTATCGCTCCAGCATTAGTCAAGGATCCGATCTTGCCTTGTCTTCAGCATTTGCAGCGCGCTTACTGATGGTCCTCAGATACACACACCCAAAATCGCTGGCCATTCCTCAAATTCAAGATCTTTGTGTTATCGCGTTGCGCTCCGGATTGACAATGCGCGCAGTGAAGCAACAACTTTGGAACTGGGCGGCCAAGATTCGAAACAACACTGACCACGCCGATAGGACGCGTTCCTGGATTATTGAACAGATTCTGATTCCAACCGTTCTTGATGAATGTGCGCAGTAAAAAATGCAGAACGCTGCGCTGACCATACATGTGATACCACAACCGGATATGACGGTCACATTTCTTTTGATCCGTTAAATCATCTACAGGTGATGGCGACTGGGCAAAGCCGAAAAACCCAGGATTTCACGTTTAAATAGACGAACAATTTAATAAATAGATGCTTTCGTGCGACATGTGGCGTCACAAGCGTGCTTGACACTGAGTGCGCTAGGATATAGGTCGAAATAAACGCACGAAACTTTGTTGCCCCTTCTCGCCGGACATTACGCGCGTCCTTAGGAGTCATGGCGTTACCCAGGTATAAGGGTTGGCAGGTTCATCCAACAAGGTTTCTGTTACTGCAGCAGCCAATTCTGGCGCCTACCACACCCAATCATGGTATAGAGCAGTTTTGGAGCAGTTTTCGTTCGATTGTAGCTAGCGCCATTCTACAAATTACATGCGCTCACACTTGTCATAGCAAGTTTTGCCCCGTCGTGGGGCGTGTGTGTGTAAACCCTTCTAGCACAGGGAATGGTTAACTACACATGCAGGGGGGCAAGGCCTTCAGTGACTACCTTGCCCAACGAAGCTGTGTCACTGAAGGGGAAGCAACTGAGGACGCTCAGTTGTGTACCTGCTTGGTTAAAACTGGTTAAAACTGTTGACTTCGGTTCTGTTCATGCGCTGTTTGTTTTCTATTCCGTTATCCATTTTCAGCAAGCGATTTTTTGCTGTTGCACTGCAATTTGAAATCTGGTTTCACGACCGCTTCGACCTTTTCGACCTCTTCAACCTTGCGTTCTTGGATACAGCCTTGACAAGGTCTACCAGGTAGGAATTGCCAAATCTTTTAAGTTAAACCCTGCAGAACGAACTATCCGCACGATTCGACGCGACCAATTTGGAACCAGCTCCAATTCTTAAAACCAGTCCAGTGTGTGTGTGTGTCTGTCTGTCTGTGTGTGTGTCTGTCTGTGTGTGTGTGTCTGTGTGTGTGTGTCTCTGTGTGTCTCTGTGTGTGTGTTTTTCCCACACTCCTTTTTGCATCTGCTTCAAGGTTCGTGCCGGCCAGCACTGTTGTGTCAACAGTGGTTCCTCAGGGAATCTTTCTGGCATCCTGCTGCTAAGCCTCTCAGGAAAAATTGTTCGGTGCCATTTTGTACTGGCTGGAGAAAATTCAAAAAGAGCACTTCAACTTGGTTGGTTGGTCAGGCTGTGCCAAGGTTCTCTGCTGTGTCACTCAGCATCGTGCGTCTCACGTATTGAAGGAGATGTATGCAGTCTGTGCGAATCAGCCAGAACATGTTGGCACGGCGGGTCATCCATTGTGGCGCCTGCCAGGCTGTAACCGGCGCTGTCCAGTCATCCGTCAAGAGCCATTCCGCTGGTGTCGTGGCATTGACCAGAGATGGTCTGGTCCGCAGTGCTGAGCGGTAGTGGCCAGCACCATCAGTGCCCAAATGTGTCATGAGGGCCGCAATCTGGTATTCAACATTTTCCCAAGCCATGGTCTGTTGTGTGAAGACTGGGACAAGGCAAATGGTGTCCAAATTGATCTTGCATTCACTCATCATGGCTTGGCCTGTGACATCATGAACATGGCGTTCCAGTTGGACGCACAGGCAAGTGGGTGCCTCAAGCAATGCAGTGCTCATTCCATTCGCCTGGCGCCACAGGGTGAACAGTTGGGTGAGGTCACATTTGTGTGCGCATGCAAGGTTCATGTCAAAACGCAGGCAAATCGGCATGTAATGGTGTCCTCTGTCAAAAATGACTGTCTCTCCATTTTCCACATAGCGCTGCTGCCAGCTCATGTTGAAGGCAGGGCTTTGGATGAGGCTATAAACTCTGCGGCGTCTTGCTGTGCAAGCATGGTGAAATCCAATGAGGGATTCAATCGTCCCCAGCAACGTAAGATGTTCTGAAACCAAAACTCATCGCAAAGGTTGGCATGTGTTTCATGATGGGATTGGATAAAATCGATCAACATCTGTCGTTGCTCTCCCCAACAATGCAAGTCACACGGTGTCATGGACAAGGTGGTCCAGAGGAAACAGTAAGTGGCTGCATTTGCAAAACAATAGTGGCCAGGATTCTGCAGAACAAGGTGCGCAAGGTTCTGCAGCAACTCTCTGGAGTCAACTGGGTCGACACTGGCACTCATTCCTGTTTGGGAGTCATGCCTTTGTGTTTCCCTTTCCCCTTGCCCTTGGGGGTCTTGGTCTGACCCATGGCCTGCTGCAGGCTGCGGGCTAGTGGGCTTTGGCGTTGCCCATGAGGTTTCAGCGATGTTCCCATCAACAACCATATGGCTGAGTGCGACATGGTCTGCATCAGTTGCCATGGAGTGTCGATTCTCAGACTCAAAGTGAGCTTCCATGGGGCCACTTCTTGACTTGTCGTCGGCAGGGCATGAAAGGAGGTCACCAGGTGGACATCCGTCAGGGCTTCCACCATGTCTGTGCAGATCTGCATCAGTCTGGTCAAGCTCAGGGGTGGTCTTTGACTGACCTTCAGCTGCTTCTGTGACTGGTCCCATTCCAAAAACGGGCACGTCTTGTCCGGCAAGAGGATTAGGCTCTTGAGAGCTGCCGTTTGAATCTCTGAGCCATCCTTGGCCTCCCCGAGAGCCGTCAGTCTGTTCATGAGCGTGTTGAACACTACCTGCATGAGATGTTGTTTCAGCGGCATCAGGGGCTTCTTCGGTGTTGGCATTTGGCGATTCTGAGCCCAGTCTTCTGTGGCCTGGACTAGGCATTGTAGGCTGCTGTTGGGCCCCTTGTGCCCGAAGAAGAAGATAAATGTGTCTTCTGTCTTCAGTTGCTGCATGTCCTTGTCCAGTCGGAGAGCCAGTTTTGTCAGGAGCGTCAATGCTTGAACCACGTTGATTTTGTCTGCTGACTGGTTGACTTGGTGCTTGCCTTGCTGTTTGTCCGAGTCTCCTTTTCTTTGTCGCTTGGGCGCCGCTGGATTGGGTGCTAGGATCAGGTGTTTGTCCAGCAGGGGGCCAATTGCCTGAAAGGCACTCCAGACCTGGCTGTTCACCTCGTCTGTGTCCTGCATGTCCAAGTCTGCCATGAGCACTTTTGGCCAAGATCACTGCCGTCTGTAATAGACAGGGACACTGGGCACGAAAATGGGCATGTAAGGCTTGATTCCAGTCAGTCGGTGTCAGACCGGTATCAGATTGCTGGGTGTTGTGAAACACTTGAAGGCACGCATAGCACTGTGAGTCTGTCGCCTGTTTGGCTATGAATTTATTGATCAGCTGCTGTTTGAGAAAGGTCACAAGATCCTGTCCACATTGGTGCGCCTCATACAGATGAAGGACCAGGTCAGCCGGGTGCATGGTGGTGCCGCAAAGCACGCAATGTTGCCTCAGCATGGTCAAATGGTCTGCTTCCGTCCAAAAATCAGCAAGTGTTCCAGCAAGGAGGGAACGTTCCAGCAAAAATCTTTGGGGTCTTGGCATGTGCAGAGAAAACATTTGAACCAATTCTTCATCTGTGGGTCGATGAGGCCAGGGGTTCTCATGTACTGCATGCATAGCTGTCTGATGGGCAGACAGACGTGACTTGCTCTGTGTGCTCCCGTGCTCGGGTTGCACAGGCAACCTAATTGGTTGTACAGCAGTTGTACCATGAGATTGGTCAGACCCTGAGAGGCCGACCAAAGCCGGCCATGTGCGGTTTGAAGGTGGCCTGCCAAGTCCATGGGCCGTGTGTAACGGCTGCTGCAGTTCTGGCATCTCAAGGTTAATTGAAGTCGGACATGTGCATCACGGAGTGTGTCCACCAGGAGTCCCTCACACATTGCTTTGACCCATTGAGGTTGGACATCAATGACTTCTGTTGGAAGGTCTGGGCAAAATTTCATACACCTGCCTTGGTTTATGTGAGAGCGCAGGGATTCCAGGCTGTCGTACATCTTGTAGCAGTGATTGCACACCGGCTCTCCATCCAGCGTGTCTCGTGCTGGGTTGAAGCTCTGGCTTCTCAAGTGATGGACACCAGTCAAGTGTTCATGCAATTTGTCACTGCTGTCAAATGTTTCCATGCAAATTTCACAACGCAAGGTCACAGGTGCAGGAGTCTGGTCTGACGTCAGGCCTCCTCCGTAAATTAATAACATTGCCAGTTGTGTCCAGATCGGACATTGATGATTGGCCTTGAAGAGCTCGTTGCAAAAGGGGCATGGAGGTTCCTCACCATAAAGGTTGGTGAGTTGATGCCCTTTGCTTTGCATGTTTGGCCAAAACTCTGGGTGATGCAGTTTGTAGTGTCGATTCATTTCTTGTGTGCGGCCTACGAACTGATCGCAAAGGCAGCATCTGTTGGTCAGATACTTGCATGCAGCTGTCTCCTTCTTCATATGGTGCCAGGTGCGTGACCCAACAATGGTGAGAACACGGCGTCCCCACTCCTGGCCCAATATGTTGAGCAGGTCAGCATCTGTCAGCATGGCAGTACCACGGACTGATGGATCCTGTTTGGGTGCAAACATTTGCTCAGGATGCAGCAGGTCAGCTGCCAGTGGATCGGACTTGCTCCAACAGTCAGGAGGTCCAGCTTGCAACACCTGGCATCCACGCTGGGCATGTATGACAAATGTTCTCCAACTGGTGAAGGTTTTCTGGCAGTGCGTGCATTGCGGTAGACCATTTTTCATGTGGTGTGTAAGGGAAACGTTAAGACTCCTATTCATGCGGTGTCCATGGACTGTCGTGCAGTGTCTTCTAAAGGTTGTGACATCATGTGCATAGAATCCACAGAGCTGGCAAAAAAGATCTTGTCTGAGCTGGAGCACGTCTTGGACGTCCGGGGCAATGAGAACCTCTGAACCTGCATGCAAATGGCTATGAAAGAGAGCAATCAGGTCTTGCAAATGACTCCAATCTAAAGTGTGGAGGAGGTCAGTTGGTGCTGCGTATGTCAACCGCTGCTGGATGGACCTCTGGAGGCTTTCAACGGAGTTCCACAACCATGTAGCTGGCAAGGCTATGCGGTTGTTTGTAAGGGCTTGCTCATGAGTTAACCCTGTGATGTATGCATGATTGTTCAAAATCTGCCGCAACATACTGTACATGGTCTTCTGGAGCAATTGCAATCCAGGCATGGTGATGCCTAATGAAAAAATGCCATATGTCAGCACAGGATAGACACAAGTGGTAAAGAGCTGGATCCTTTGTGCTCTATTCAGTCCTCTCTTGCCAGTAAGCCAGCGCTTCAGTCGGCCAAAAGCAACACGTGCAAGATTGATGCGATGTTTCACTGTGGCAAGTTCATGATTGGCATATGTGATCACAGTGCCCAAATACCTGGCTTGATGTTCTATCGGAATCCAAAGAGGATGGTCAGCAGTGCCAAAACGCAGCCATTCTTTCCCATCTCGCCATGCAGTCAGTTTGGAGCGCACCTGTCTGTGTGAAGTGCCTCCCATGGTGAGCAAGGCGGTGCATTTCGATGGATTGATGGTCAGTCCAAACTTCTGCAGAAGTATCAGCGTCTGATTGATGTTGTGCAGCAATGTGTTGAGTTCCTCGTGGGAACGGAATTCATCACCCATCTGGCAATCGTCAGCAAAGACATTCAAGCATTTGAGGATCCACTGTGGTTGGACAATACGGCTCAGTTCTGTCAGGAAAAGCCACATGTACCCATTCCATAAGAGGGGAGCTGCACGGCAACCCTGACGTACTCCTTTTCCCACCGGAATTGGGGTGTCTGTGCCATTACAACGCAAATGGTATCGGGTCTCTTGATGCCATAGGGTTAGTAGAAGCACTACTTGGGGATGGATATCGAGCTGGTGCAGTTGTTGGAAGAGATGTTCACGGCATATCATATCAAAAGCACGTTCAATATCCAAAAACAATTGGAGGCCCCCTGCTACTTTGAATCGGCATTGTCCACTCTGTCGAGAGTGCGGCGTGGATCGAGCACTTCGAATTAGTGACCTGACAGCTACACAATGTCTGGCTACTCTGAGGAGGGCATCTTGTGTGGAACGCCCCGGGAGATAAGCCCAAAGTGGCATGGCAGTCAGTTTCGGTAGTGCGTCTTGTTGGGCTGCTTTGGTGAGCAGACCTACCAGGGCCTTACTTATGGGTTCTTGAAGTGCTAACGGCCTCAATGCCCTTGGATCTACTGGTGGCTTATTCGGTTTCGGAATAAGAATCATCCATGCATCCCTAAACCAACTGGGTAGATATGGGGTAGGTCTTGACCACCAATCTTGAAGTCGGGTAAAGATGGCTGGTGCAATGATGTGTGCCAATGCTTTCCACACTGCGCCAGGTGCACAGGGGCGTGCAACTGCTTTGGTCGGATCAATGCGGCGCATCTCACGTTCCAAGTCATCAGCAGTGAACGGCAGGCCTGAAAAGGTCGCAGTGGTGATGGGAAAACATGCAGGCCCCTTCCATGTGTCCATGACAAATTTCCTGAGGAGTGCAGCTTCTTCAACTGGGGAGGCAATGTGTCCATTGATGTTTCGGAGCTGCATTCTACGTCTGGATTGTTTGGGGGTATATTTGTTAATGATACCAAACAGGGTACGGCTGTCATGGCGTTCTGCAGCAAACTGTGCGCTGGTCAGCAACTCCTGAAATCTGAGCTTGCGTACATGTTTCGCATGTTGTTTGGATTGGCGATTGAGATGCACAAACCTTGCCAAGTGGTGCCATGCATGAAAGAAATGCTGTAAAGAAGGTGTGGTAATCTTCAATAGCAATTTTCGATGGTGCCACTTGGTCATGGTCAGGTGTTGTGTCGTGGTGTCAATGGTGTGGTGGTGGCGTTTTTCATGTGGAAAAAAGGATTGAAAGCATCTTATCGCAGTTGAGTGAAGTTGTGGCAATAAGTGTTCATCTGAGGTCCTGGCATCATTCAATACTGCAGTGAGTGCAGTGCTGGTCTCATCCAGAAAGGCTTGCCATGTGTCTGTCTGTGCACTAAAGGCCATGTGTCCAGTACGTCGCTGCTGTGTAGTAATGCCAGTGATCATATCTTTGGGAGCATACCATGTCTTGCGCAATTGTGTCAAGATCGGTGCATGTCCATGGTGCAGGTCAGTGCAAAAAGGTGCATCCCAAACATATTTGGTATCTTTGGCAACTCCATCAGCGGCTAACTTCCGGGTGAAGACAAAGTCAATGCGTGAACTGGTGTCTGCTTGTATGAACGTTGGACCGAGACACGGGTCCCATGAGTTCAAGGCAGTCAGGCCATGTAGTCTGACTATGGACATGAAATTGCCCTCATCTGCATGAGTGGCTCCACGAGTCCACTGACTGCGCCATTTGTACTTACAGGGCCCCCCATGAGAAGTCACCTGTTACTACCAGAACATTCCTTGCAGCAAGACCCTGTAAGAGGGCGTCCAACTGATTCCACCATCTGGTTCTGTCCTGTTCCCTTTGGGAATTGTGTGCTTGGGTGTGTTGGTAACACCCCACAAGATCTATGCTGCGTGTCGGCAGTTGGATCTGTAGATGGATGAGGCGTCCAGGAATTATGACTCGCCATCGAAGGCTGTCTGCAGTGCAAAAACGGGTAGATAAAACACATAAGATACCAGCTCCACGGTTCTTTGGGTCGCCCGTGTGGATGTAATGGAAATCTCCATCACTCCACTCATTCTCATATGTCCATCTCGTTTCTGCAATCACAGTGGCATCAATGTGATTCTCCTGCATCCAGACCTTTATGGAGTCAAGCCTATGAGTGGACAGTCCACCTGCATTCCATTGGAGAAGCCGAAAGCGTTTGGCATCTTGATGTTTTCGATTGCAACTGGTGAGTTGTGGGGACGGTTTGTCCCGCTCTGGCAAGGCATGGTCTGGTTGATGCTGTTGCAGAGCTTTTGGAAAGGCTGTTGGTGTCAGGCATCTACCTTTATACCATGCAACTCCATGTTTCACCGCCCTGACATAAGCTCTTTTGATGCTGCGCTTCACTACAGGCTTAGGTACAGCACGCCAGTCTTTTGCTCTCAAGCATGTTTCTGGCCGCGTGTCATGTTGCTTCGTGTCACACTGTTGGAGAAAGGTTGGAACCCAGTCATGAGACACTTCAACACCCTCCATGACAAGAGTGTAACCCTCACTCCTCACAAGCTCAACTGCGGTAAAAGAAAATGACAAAAGGAACCAAACGAGCCAAATCCAGGAAAATCGATGGTTCCAAGGGAGCTTGTGCCTGGACTTGGGACCAGGTTGACCCCCGGTGTGTTCAAGGTCAGTGGTTGCACTCAGTGTCTTTCTGACTCTCTCGTTCAGCCAAAATGAAAAAGTAAATCGTTGCAAAAGAACACTCAGGCAGCCAATGAATGCAGCCAAGCACAAAAACTGTGTGATTGCAGCAAAAGAGCGGTTGCTGAAGTGTCCTGTGTCACCAAACAAGTGCCACTGTGGATGCGAGAAGCAAGTCTGATCAACTGTTGGCTCCCAGAGTAGTCTCGTACAGCACAAGACCGTGGGGCTCTGTGCAACAGTGTTCAAAACAGGTTCGAGTTGGTGCAATCTGTGTGGACTCAACTGAATTGTAAAACAAAGCCACAGAAAAATTTTGTTGAAATCAGAAAGTGCGTTCAGGAGCAGTGTATGTCCTTCAATCAAGGAGGATCCGAAAGGAAAATTCTGTTCAGGGTCGTCAGCACTTTTTATCTCAAGCTGCAGCGTGAGCAAGTGTGCAAGAAAACGCACCTCTGTCTGCAGATTCACAAGAAAGCGGCCAAATCCGAGCCGCCTGTGCCAGAGAGGAATGTGCCAATGTCGATCAGGGATGTTCTTCCAGTTGCTTTCTGTGGGTGTGCGGTCTGTGAATCTGTCAATGCCGGAAAACTCAGTCTCCCTGTCGGTGTCAGGCGGGCCAGTCAGTGATGAAAGGAAGCCCAATCCCCAATTGCCTGCACCGATGTTCTGTAAGGCAGTCCGTGTTGATGAATAATAGGCCAGTGAAAAAATTGAATGGGAGCCTACCCCAAAAAAATCAATCCACCAATTCAGAAGGGCCAGTGAGATCTGAATCCAGAGGGAGCCCACCCCTGTCAAACTGAAGATCCACGTAGTGGCTGTGTGATCCTGTAAATGGCTTTCTGTCGAATTGACAGCACAGTCTCCGGGTGATGCTGCGTGTTGGAAACTCAGTGAGCCAGTCAGTTGCGGATGGAAGCCCACACCCCTGTTGTATGCTCCAAAATGCAAAAAATCTGCACGTGCGATATCGAAAATGAAGGCCAGTGAAAAATGTGGAAGGGAGCCTACCCCAAATTGAAATCCAAACTGCAATGCAAAAAGGGCCAGTGAGAATAAGGAATTAAGGAAGCCCACCCCTGTCCTGTCAATGTACCACGTCGTCACCACAAAAGAGAGCAAAAAATTGTTTGCAACACTGTCAAAACTGAGTTGTATGGTAGGTGAAGAGGCAGAAACAAGCAGGCCAGTCAGCTGTGTATGGGAGCCCAATCCCCAGATGCTTGTTCCTGCCCAAGGGTAAAAATCACCCGTCACCAACTGTGTTTGACGGCGCAATCTCAACAGTGTGCAATGCTCAACAACGTGTGGTGATGTCCCGGTGAACTTTGGGTCCAGGAGCTTTTTGTCAATCTGTAATGGTTGTCGCTGGGCCAGTGAAAAATCGTCACAAAGGGAGCCCACCCCTATCTGTTGCTTGTGTCCAAAATTGATGGAACAGTCAGTCGGGTCGTCCACACCCACTGTTTGAATCGCTGGGCCAGTCAATCGAAGGGGAGCCCACCCCCACGCAAAATGTTGTCTTGTGACTGTTGCAAATGGTGCCAGCACTGCAGGGATCCAGAGCGTGATGAAACTCACTGTCTGTAGGATCGTCGTATTGCGTCCAGATGGCACCAAATCAATGATTTGGTCAAATCAATCAAAAATGCAAGCAAGATCAGTCAAATAAAAACGCTCAAATCTGCGGAAATTGAATGCTGTGGCCAGAAATAAAAATGTTACGGGGAGCCACCCCCAAATGTTGTAGTCCAGACAGAAAAATGCAGCAACACAGGAAGGCCAATGGCGCGCTGAACGAGACAGAAAGGGCTGCGGCCTCGCTGGGTGAGGCGTTTGAGTGCACACGGGGGTGCAAAGGAGCTTGTGTGTGTGTGTCTTGCATCCACTTAGCGGCATTACGGTATTACAAAAAAAAATTGCCCTTACACGAGAAAGTTACTTACACGAGAAAGTTACTGAAACGAGAAATAAAAATAAAAAAGTGGAGTAGACAGTTTCTTTTAAAAAAGTGTTTGTAAAAGGAATGAAGGAGAAGGAAGCATATAAATCTAACCAAAAGGAGTGCTAATGTCTCCATGGGTGAAATATCAGATTGCGTGTGCTCAAATTTTAATGCATGTGTGTGCCGGCAGTGACAATGTCATGTCTTCCAACAACAAGAAAATAGCTTCAATCATCGGTCCACGCATTTTTTCTCTTGGGCAAACGAGGATTCCAAATATCTACAGCAAGTTTGGTTTGTGCAAGCCACAAACAGGTGAATTAAAGATGGGTTCCCATAGATTTTGAAATCATATGAATTAGTAAAGTAGACTCGAATAGGCTGAAGCAGCCATGTGCTGAAGCAGCCATAGCTTGGCCGAAGCAGCCATAGCTTGGCCGAAGCAGCCATAGCTTGGCCGATGCAGTCAAAATGCTACTTCTCATCACTTTGTTTTTTCTTTTTCATTCATCCACTTAACCCCTTTTCTTCTCACAATTTCGATCCGCATAGTGGAAGCAAGCTTGCTTTCCGATGGCCATGTGCTGGTTTGAAGCAGCCTGTACTTCTGGTACAGCTTTTCCACATGGAACCTTTTGAGAAGATCCCTTTGGATGACTTTGGCATCAGGCTTAGTGACTACACTGGGGTTGCCACGTCATCGTGGAAGTTCGGGCGGCGGCATCATCATCAGCATGGAAACGGAAACGGTCATATGTAGTTTAAGCCTAGAGCCTAAATGTGCGAGAAACCGCAAATGATTATGTTTCAGAACATGTACAGCAAACATGAGACAAACCGACTGACAACAGGACATCCCCGGTGGACTGTGGTAGCAAACTGGCTCCAAGACCGAACCAGTCTGTGAGGTTATATTCCAGGCCGAAACAGCCTGTGATTGCAGGCCGAGGCAGCCTGGAACGTTTCACGGTTTAAGCCGGAACAGCTTTTACACACGGAAAAGCTTGTGAGCCGAAAACAACGAGAAACGACTTGAGTGAGGCTTCTAAGCAGGGGGCTAACAGTTCTCTCCTTAGACTGACAGCAGCGAAGTGTGTAAGGAGAGGGCTGTGAGAGGACTATTCGAAAAAGGTTGTTTTGCCCTAAGGAATTTTATTCAATAGTCCTCTCACAGCCCTCTTCTTACACAGCTCACTGACGAAGGCCCAAGGCAGCCAGGGTGGCCGAAACAGCCAAGCTCAGGCAACATGACGACCTGTGACGACCTCTCCTTACACAGCAGGTTTTTGGTTAAACATTCTGTGTAAGGAGAGGTCATTTCGTCCTCTCCTTACACAGGTAGGGGACGTCCCCGATGCTCGGTTGGAGAGGACAAACAGAGGACAACAGCTTGTAAAACCGAAACACTTAGTAGTATTACACATTCGTCCTCTATTCGTCCTCTCCTTACACAGCTAGGGGACGTCCCCGACCTTCGGTTGGAGAGGGCAAATCGCCCTCTCCTTAGGATAGGGTTTTTGATTATATCCCTTAGGAGGTTAGGGGACGTCCCCGAATTAGAGTCTTAGGAGGTTAAGGGATGTCCCCGAATTACCCCTTAGGGTTAGGGGACGTCCCCGAATTAGAGTCTTAGGAGGTTAAGGGATGTCCCCGAATTACCCCTTAGGAGGTTAGGGGACGTCCCCGAATTAGAGTCTTAGGAGGTTAGGGGATGTCCCCGAATTACCCCTTAGGAGGTTAGGGGACGTCCCCGAATTAGAGTCTTAGGAGGTTAGGGGATGTCCCCGAATTAGGGTCTTATAGTCTTAAGAGGTTACATCCCTGTAATTCTTAAGATGATTTTTAAACATATGTCAAAATCCCTTATGACATAAAAAAGAAAATATCCCCCTTACCAGGTTAAAGGACATTTGAATAGTAAACAGTAAACATGTTACATATTTTCCCCTTTTTGGATTCAAATACTCTTTGGTGGTTTCAAAGTCTCTTCCACAACCTGGTCCCAAGAAGGCCACAGCAGCCACTATTTTCTAAGAGACAGTCTGTCTTCTCGAAACCCTTGCTGGCCGAAACAGCCAGGCGATTTGGCCGAAGCAGCCAAGCTTCTGTGGCTGAAGCCTGAAGCAACCACTTTTTTCAAAAAAAAGTTTCGGGCAGGCCGAAGCAGCCTGGCAACGAGCAGGCCGAAGCAGCCTGACTACGCCCGTAATCTCAAGCCTCGGCCGCAGCAGCTTGGGTGAGTTGAAATACCCAGGTGGCTCCTGAGAAGTGTCCAACCCTCAATCGATTGTCCACTTCTGACCTCAAGTTTGGCAGCATTGGCTGGTTGTCTTCTGTATTCAAACTCAAGTGTGCTGACCTTAATATTTCACAGCTTGCCATTTCATCTGCTGCTGCATCAGCAGCGAGTGCCACAACTCTTGACCGCAGGTGTTTACAAAGATTTTTCTTCAAACGCCCAGGATTCTGACTAAGAGGAGCCATATAAAATCTAGAGCAAGCACGCTTCATGACTGCCCATGTGGCTAAGGAGACATTGGCAGCTCCTGTTCCAGCTTGCCTTGCTTGGCCTAAAAAACCACTTCGAGTTGTCAAGTCTGGGGCCACAGCCATGAATCGTATGGCCAACCGCCCATGCCGCTCATCCCGCATCAAAGAAATGTGAGAAGATTTCGCAATGAACGTTTGGTCCAAAGCTTTTAACCCCTCTGCCAAACACCATGCCATTTGCAGCTCTTTTTGCGTCAATGATCTTTTCTCGCCAAAGCACTCCATCAGCTCTTGAAACTGACTCAATGACAGGGCTGCATCGGGACTAGGACCAACACAGCCCCCTTCCTTCAACCATTCCTTCACCGCTGCCTTGTGCGCCTTGCTTTTATGGTGCTTCATCAAATTGCAGTTCTGCAGTTGGCCCTTCTTGGTCATTGAATAAGAAGCGAAAGGATTGGAAACCCCAGTTTCCTTGCACACTTTACAATCAACACCCCAAGGTTGCTGCTTCACATCCAACCATGACCCTAGCTCTGGCTGGCCATCTGAGACGAGGAACATGTTACACCATTTTTTGCTCGAACTACGCCATCTGAATTTGGCCCCGGTTTCCAAGCTTGACATTGCTACCGTGGCCGAAGCAGCCACTAAAATGGCCGAGCCAGCCAGCACCGCGGCCGAAACAGCCACAATGGAGCGGCGCATCTTAACCATTGAGCCAAAAGAAAACGAGAAAAGAAAATAACCATGACACTTGTTAAAATATCTAGCAGGGCGTCTATACGAGAAATTTCCTTCTGTGGACGTCGCCAGGCAGAGAACAGAAAAGCTGTCCCACAATAAGTGTGTCAGAAGAAAAATGTGTCATATACCACAACTAAGGAAAATTGAGTTGAGAATTCTAGTAGAACGCATGTGGCATGGTTTTAAAAGTCATGAAGGTTTTTGTAACAAAGTCTGAAAGTACAAAGCGACGAGTTCTGAAAATAACTTAATTATGAAAACCAAAACGACAAAATATCTCCAAAGCCCCTTTTTTTTGTAATACCGTAATACGCTTAAGTGGATGCAAGGTGTGTGTGTGTGTGTGTTTGTGTGTGTTTTTACTACCCCTACATCCCCTCTTCTCCGAGATGGCAGGCGAGCCCACATCGATGTTGTTATCGATGGCCACCAGAAGAACCAAATTTTGACGTCCGTTGGCCTTCGGTGGTCTTATCAGACCTTTGAACCCCTAAGGGAAAACGGGAAAGTCCAAAAGTTCAGCACCTGTTGGAAGTGTTGAACAGACAGTCCAAGGAGAAAAATCAAATTGAAAAAGAAAACGCAGTTCAGGACTATGTCAAAGCCGGTAGTTGTTGGCTAAGATCTAAAGGTCCATGGGAAAAATGAATTCCAATTGGGAGATGGTGACATGAAACTGAGCTAAGCCCTCTCACAGCCCCTCAGTGCCATCAGCCGAAGTCCGCAGCCGCAGGAGCCCACGCTCACCACAGCAGCAAAGCCAAGAAGCCGCCGCCGCTGCGCAAAAGCAATGCCACAGCGCAGTGCCAGGAGCCGCTCAGCTGCCAGCTGTTGCCAATGCCGTGCGTCCCAGGTTGCTGCGCGCACGTCTCCTGACAGTGTCGTTGTGCAATGGGAGCAACATGAACATGACAATGTTTCCACAAATCCAGTCAGGCAGTGTGGTAAAACGCTCTGGAATAGTGTTATCTTCGTATGCCATCCATTGATCATTGTATCGCACAACAGCTCTGTAGTGTCCAGAAGTGGGCGTAGCGCCCAAATGAAAAACGAAACCAGCAATTGCAAAAGGAAAGAAATGCACTGTGCCATCTGTCTGAAAAACTGGAAATCGAATCTGGCTTCCAAACGCAATCTGTTGCATACATTTCTGCGATGAATCAATGAATCGGCTGATCTGAAAAATGAGAACGCTGTCTGCCTGGAGTGCTGCACGACAAACACCTAATCACCTAAGGCATCATTCCAGTGATCAATCAAATGCTGGAGAGTGCAAGTGAGAAGAAAAGGATCGAAGATGGGAATCTGAATCAGACCATGCTGTGAACCTTTTTCGGATCCAACTCGCAGATCGTCGTCCCCAACATCGCGCAGGTGTTGAGCCACCCATCTGTTGTTCACAAAGGGAGGCATTGTCCGTGCCAAAAACCATTGTAGGAATTCACACGCATCCTGCTGATGATAAAGATCCCCCTCCTGCCATCCATGGCCAAGGAGCCAAACCAGAGGTCTAAATGATCTCAAGCACAGCGGAAGCCAAGCATTGTTTGACAGGCTTCTGAATAGCTCAAAGCCACCCACTGGCCAAAAGTGATTGTGCAGGGCATCCATACACAGTGTGATCCACAAGAGGCATTGAAGGCTGGCATTGAAGTAGCAGCTGTTGCCTGGATTGGCAAGTAGTCTCACTTGTCGGTGTTCAAGGCTTTCTGCACGGCCTTCGAGAGTTGAGTTCTCTCCGTTGTTTGTGGGCGTATCTGTACCTCTATCAGTAGCCAGGAAGCATGATAGCATAATCGACGGATTTCGAACCAGGCCTCCAAGTTGTGACGGTTGCTCAGGAGCCACAACCACGGGATCGCTTTGTCCGTTGAGTCTGTTGTCTTCACCAGACTGTGGAATCTCAAAGTCGTGGTGGGGTCCTCTGCCAACCGGAGCAGGTTCTGATAGGAGCGCACCACCTCCTGAATCGAAAGAGTGGCATCCTTCGACTGCTCCAACTTTTTGGCCTTCTCGTTCCACCTCAGGAAAGGCATATTGCCCTGGCCATCGATCAGTCCTCGGCTCTGACAGGCCTGCCACAGTGGCTCCTGTGGATTCGACTTGGACAGCGTCTCCACCTTGGTCAGCACCGTCTTGATCATCAATGATGACAAGACATGTCGGAGGGATGTTGTTTTCTCCTCCTGGTGCCACTTCTTCGAGGCCGCCAGCAAGATCGGAATGATGCTTTCTGGCCCCGGCTGCAAATGCATCACGAATTGATGCTCCTGCAGGACCTGATTCACCGTGTCTTCTGTTCGAAGAGCCGACCTTGCCACCATCTGTAGAAGTTGGTCCTGCGACCCATTCCCCTTTCGGGGTGCATTCTTCCCAGGTCTGTGTCTCTTTGGATGTGGTGCATCCGTAGAGTCGATCCCCAAGGCAGCCAATTGTTGTGCCGTAAGGACGTTCTTCCAGATGTCTTCGGCTGACATAGATGGGTGATCCATTGGTCAAGAAGATGGCAAGGTGCAGTAGAGGCAGACACTTGCGTCCAAGTTCAGGACTGTGTTCAAGTTGAGCACAAAAGGAGCAGGGAGTATCATCTGTGATCATACTGCGCAATTGCAAGCGGTGGTAGCATAAAAATGTGTCCAGCTGTCTGAAATCATGTTGCAAAAGATGTTGCATGAATTTCCACTGGGTGAAAAATACTTTGCCGCACATTAGACATCTGTATTGCAACATTTCCAGAAAAGTGGCATCACTGGCAAGTGACAAACCCCCGATCGCAAGTGTTTCGAATGAAAGGCCAAACATGTCATCTGAGGCTGAGGGGCCAACATTGAATAGTGCCAGCTGCCGCTCCACTCGAAGACGGGATCGATCCACCTCATCACAGGAAGGCCAGTCACCAAATTCAAAGGGTCTTTGGTGCCACATAGGAAAGGCCAGCATCAAAGCCACCAGCGCAATGAAAGGACAATCATTCATGTGACGTTCAGGCTGTGGCGTGATGTCATAATTGGCCTCAATCGATGGCATCAATGTGCCGCAGTGTTCACTCCAAAAATCAGTGGAGGGATGTGCTGCAATTGCCACTTTGGCCAGTTGATCAATGATTGCTTTCGGGCTCCTGATGTTGAAATTGTGACAGGTCCTGACATGCTCCAAGGCCCTGTGCAGCGGAACAGCTTCATGGCACATCAAGCATTGACTGACCAAGAGCCTGGGGACATCACGGCAGAGCAGCAATGTGTCAAATTGCCTAGCCATCATCATTGCAGTCACTCTCGCAAGAGCTGGGCCAGATAGCAATGGTCCAAAGATGTCCATCAAGTCGGTGGCTCTGAAGCTCCACGGGATCGTCACCGGAGCATTGTCCTGCGTAATCAGCAGCGCAAGCTGTGTGAGCATAGGACAGATATGTCCATCAGTTCCATGGTTCACTGCTGGATTGCACATGCAGCCATGTGCAGCAAATAAGACCCATAGAAGAAGACGAATCCAGTCATCACTGTCCCTCACCGCTGCAGCATGATCAGAGCGCAAGTGGCTCAGCAACAAATCTGGAGTTGTGAACCGCTCATCACAAAGTTGACATCTCAGGGTCAACGCAAGCTTCAGGGCCGGGCGCAGGACAAGCAAATTCAGCAGGCCAAGGCACGCCAGCTGCAGGATGACCTCTTTCGGCTGCAGCAGAAGATCAGCAGGCACATCTGCCGTCGTAGGTGCATCTGGAGCGTCTGTCAGCTGTATCCTCAAGAGGGCATACTGAATGAAGACCAGGCACAAATGTTTTCTCTGAGGAATCACTGGAATGCAATAGCATTGATTGGGTAATTTCCATCTGGCATCATGGGAAATGGCATCATGTTCACCTCTGTGCCAAAGTGTTGCATGTTGAGTTCGAAAATGCCGCATCAATTCATTTCTGCGTCCAAATTTTGCATAACATAAGAGGCACTGTTGAGACATCAGCTCCGCAATGGCAGGATGCTCCAGTAGCGCAGCACACGATGCTTGCTCCACCGCCTGTGAGATCAGGCAGTACGCATCGAAATGTTCATCTGTCAGAGATGTACCAGCCTGCAGTGCTTCATGGAAGCGTCGCAAATGCTGCTGCAGGCCATGACGGGTCACAAATACCTTGGAGCATTGATTGCATGGAAAGGTCTCTGTGATCGTGGCTTGTTCTCTGGGCAGGTGCTGTCCACTTGCTTGTAGGTGCATTGCACATTGTCTCAAAATTGGACAGTGATGCATACGTCGGAAGCTGGTGCCACAAATCGCGCAAGGATTCTGAGTGCTAACTTGTTGATGCAGGAAGTCATTCCAAGGACCATGTTTGCGATATATGTCAGGGTGTTCACGTCCCCAATGCATCAGAAGGCCCCGAACGCTGGACACAAATTGACCACAAATAATGCATCTCTGAAGAAAATAAGTGATCAACGTGTGGTTCAGACCAAGCGCCACATAGTTCATGGCATAGATGTATTGAAGAAACTCCCGGACGCGAAGCCGGCGTTCAGGATCATCATCCTCCTGTCTGGAATCTGTGCATACAAAACGTACATGGTATTGAAGACTGGTCCAGGTAGTGAACTGCATGTCACATCGAGCACATGTTGGGACACCTGTGACACTGTCAGTAACTTTGTATGGACGCAGTTGTCCTGGTCGGTGTTCATGGGCCGTGGTCCAATGCCTACGAAGAAGTGCCATGCTGGTAAACGTCTGTTGACAGATCTGACACTGAAACTGTTGAAGGTCAGCCTCAGGGATCTGTGCTCGGTTTCGACGCAGGCAAAGCGCAGCTTCAAAGACCTGGGAGACATGGTCCATAGATTGAACTGGTTTGTGTCGCAGAATGTCATCAGGAGCCAACTGTTGAAATCTTTGAGTTTCACGCTGAAAGGCAATCTCACACTGGTGTCGAAAGCGATGCAGCGGGTCAGGAATGTTGTGCTCTGCTA